GATACATATTTACAGTACGAATAGCTCCAGACTCCGGAGCGGGACCCGGTGGAGCGGACAGGGGAATGTGCCCGTACCGTGCCCGCCAAGGACGCTGGGCCCTGAACCCTGGGGGGATCTACCCGCAGGGCCGCAGCTGACTGCCCTGCCCAGGAAGAACCGCTGCCCCCCTCCACCCTCAGAGGCTGTGATCCGTCGATGATACGTATATTACTCGTACGCATACAGATACACGTAGTATTGACATGACTTGTAACGTATTACTCATATGATGCGGATACGGGCATCCATTGTAATATCCACCTCATGCCGCTGACCGAGCCCCCTACGTACTATCGTGTCGTGTGCGCTGATCCCGAGGAGTCATCACTACGTGTGCTACTGCTGCTACTGCTGCTACTGCTGCTACTGCTGCTACTGCTGCTACTGCTGCTACTACCACTACTACCACTACTACCACTACTACTGATACTACTGATACTACTGCTACTACCACTGCTACCACTACTACTGATACTACTGCTACTGCTACTGCTACTGCTACTGCTACTACTACCACTACCACTACTACTATACTAATAACCTGTTACAAGCTACCGTAACGGCGTCAATACTATGGATACATGGCCAATACACGCATTTCCACGGTCAGAGAGAATCCACCGTCCGTCCATAACCGAACGGTACATGCCGTCCGAGTCTCTGTCCATCCTTGGGTCCAAGGTTCGGTCAACACTGCAAGGTGCCCACGTCCCACTGCAACCTACCCAGAGCCAGCCCACTGGGTCCCCGGTGCTAGCCAGATCCAGAGAGGGGCGGCAGATCTCCGGGGCCTGTGCTCAACTGCTGGTGGAGGATCGCAGCGGGTACTTTTCGCCTACTCTTACGGTCTACCACCCCGTTGCAGTCGCTGTACTCGTAATGCCCAACCTCATCGATATATGCGTATCATGTACGGGTACTGCCGCACCGTGCACTGCTCCCCCAGCATGCGCAGGTACCGGTACAAGGCTGGATGATGGACCCCCTCCAGTACGTAACATTGACCATCATCATCATCGCCGCCAACCAACGCCATCCATCTCCTCTCGACGCACGTCATTGTCAGTTTCAACTCACCTCACTCGCCTTCACCCACCCCCCCCCCCCCCAAAAAAAAAAAAAAACACACGTCCCAATGTGGTGGTATCTCTCTCTTTTCAATACCACTAAACCTTGACGATGAACCATCCGCGGTAGTAACATAGATGGGGAAAGTGAGGAGACCAGACCACACGCCACACGCCAACGGTCAGAGGAAATGAGAAAAAAAAAAACAATAAAAACAGACAGACTTGGCTGCTGGCACTCCCGAGTCATGCCATCATCACCCTCCATCCTTCCATCCTATCGACAGGCTACCTCCAGACCACACTGCCTGTCCGTCGCAGCCCCGTACATCTCCCCTCGACGTTACCCGACCCTGTGTCTCGTCAGTCGGACTTTCTGGTCCATCTTTGCCCCACGTCTGTGGGCCGACATTGTCCGTTCTGCCACCTTGGCCAGAGGATATCTGGACGGTATGATGCTTCCTCTTCTCCTTCTTCTACTACTACCTCTGCTGATAATATTGTTGGCCATCCATTCGAAACCCTCCCGCCCGCACACCCCACACACCACCCCCTCTCCCCTCTCCTCTCCCTCGTCATAGCTTCACACATGCACGCTCGCTAAATGATTCGCATTCTCCTTCCCATCTACCGCCGGCTCCTCCAGATATCGACTGGTGGTTTCGCTTCGTTGAGGACACCTTGCCAGATGTCCGTCTGTCCACCCGTCGACTCGTTCGTGTCCTCGACCTGCGCCTCCTGGCTCCGGCTCACAATGTCCACCACCGCTACGACGCTGCCGCCGGGACCTGTCTCGCCAGAGCGTTGGCGTTGCTGCCCTGCCTTGACTCGCTCCTCGTAGACGGCCATGCCGACCTGGACCCCAGCCTCTTCCTGCTCCGGCCTCGTATTGCCACCGCTGCTAAACCTGTTCCTGCTACTGCTGCTGCTGCTGCTACTGCTGCTACGGCCGACGCCCAGGCCGACGGCGCTGCCGATTCCACGAGCTCGCCTCTCCGGATGCTTGCCATGTCGGACTGCACCCATCACCTGCCGGCCTCATTCTTCTCCAGGGCACCTCGCCTCCAGTCTCTCATCTACCTCGACATCTCCGGCCTCCCCGGCTCGATAAGCCCGCTGCTCGCCAGCACAGACGCCTCCGGTGCCGCCGTCGATGCCGTCGTCCTCCCAGATCTGCGCATCCTCGGCCTTCGTCGCAAGGAACTTGACGATGCTACCCTCGTGACTCTGCTGCGACGGTACGCCCCTGCCCTGTGGAGCCTTGATGTCAGCGACAACCCTGGCCTCTCGGATCGTGTCATTCAACCCCTCGCCGACCTGTGCTTTGCCCACACCAGCCTCCGATCGCACGCACACTTCCAGGTCGAGGGCAGCGTCGTAGCGGCAGCATCGACCGAGGGCCAGCCAGACGTCGGTGGGTCGTCCGAGCACGGCCCCTTTTACGCACTGCGCGAATCCGAGCTCAGTGGCTCCTTTACTCACCCGGACCGCTACTACGTCGACGCACCCCTGTATGAGCAGCCGTGTGAGGGAACAGACAGCCGGCCTGACGGCTCCCTCGCTGCACGTCCAGACTCGGCTGACGCCTGCGTTGCCGCCCTCTTGGAGGGAGGGGACATGGCCGCCGATGACCTGCGCTCGTCTCTCGGTCTCACCCATATCCACCTATCCAACACTGGAATATCTAGCGTAGGACTGCAGAAGCTCATCCGTCTCTCCAACGGCCACATCGAAGACCTGTCGTGCGACTCCATGCGTCTTCTGCCGCCCGAGTCCACCTACAGGGCGTGGCCGCCGTCAGTAAACCTACGGGGGGTTCTGGGCGCCGCGCACCTCTTCCGGCCCGTGCTGTCGTCCAGCCTGCGTGTCCTGAGGATCCACCACTCTCTTGTAACAAACCTGCCTACTCTCGAGATGGACGGCCTGTCCCCCCTGGAACGCATCCACGTTGCAGAGACGGTCGTCGGTCCCCGCGTCGACGCTGCCTTCCCCCAGACCTTCGAACCGGATATGAACCCCCGCCTGGCATCACTCACGCTGACGTGCATCCCGCGCCGGTCGGCGGGCACCCTCGCCGACAGGCTGATTGCCTTCCTCAAGCTTCTCTCTCAGCAGGAGCGGTCCATTCAGGACGCACAGCACCTCGCAGCAGCAGCCTCGTCTTGGAGAGCACCTACCTTCCTCAGGGGGCTGAGACACGTCAGGCTCGAGTTCGACCCGGATCCCATCGAGGATGGGCTCGAAGGTCTGGACAGCCTGAACGCCGAAGAGCTCATGAACGAGGCTACGAGGTTTAGCTTCTTCGACCAGTGGTATGGTGGCGGCGCCCCTGCCGAATGGAGCACCGACACGAGGAGTTTCGCTCCCGGCCAAGGCCACGACGTCGATGACGGTGATGAATATCTGACGCATGAATGTGAATGGAACGGACACTGGTCATCTCTGCGCGTGTGGATCGGCCGCCCTCCTGCTCCTCGTCCCTGCCCTCCTTCTTCTTCTACCTCCAGAGACACCGGCGCCATCTCCATCCTCGGCAACTATAGAAGTCTCGTCCTGAAAAAGGGTGTCAGAACGGGAGCCGCCCCGGTCACGCCAGCCCAGAGGCTCGCCGGCGTCCCTGCCGACGCTGCGTACATCTTCCACACGGCCTGGACCCTGGCTGTCCTCCCACCGACGAGGGGGGACCTCTTGGCCTCGCCGCCGCCGCCGCTTCACCGGATGAGAGATGTGCTCGGGGAGGTGAAGAAGTTCAGAGTGCAGGGGAGGGAGGTGTATTCCGAGCTGGGACGACGGGGGACGGTCTCCCCTGCACCGTTGGGCGAACCGCACTACTTTTGGACGGGGAGGTTGGAGGTGTCTCTGTGAATTTCTCACCGTCCACTGTAGCACTGTGTAAGAGACGGTCTACTGTAAGAGATGATCTTACTACAAGAGATGGTCTACTACTGTAAAAGATGGTACACCGGGAGAGATGGTATGCCAATATAAGCTATGCATAGTATCATAGTATGTATACTCTTGATGTCTCTCTTTCTTTTTCTTCTTCTTAAGAAGATTGAAATGATTGAAACTTTTATTTTTAGAACCTTGAACAAAAAGAAAAGAGAGAAGAAAAACTTACCAAGTGGCAAACAAAAAAGGCCTAATACCCTACATCCAAAGACGCATGCCCCTTCTCGACTCAACCGAGACATGCGAGTCACGAGCGTCGTATTTGGCGAGAACAGGAAACGCGCGTGTAGTCCGAGGATACGACATGTCTACTCGTACTCCATACTCGTACATTTCAATCATCTCATCGACATTGGATGAGAGACGAGCTACTAGTATTTGGTACTTGTATTTTGAAATTTATGAGAAAAGAGAAAAGAGAATAGAGAAAAGAACAAAGAAAGACAAAGAGAAGACAACAGATAGGAGAAAGAAGAAGAAGAAGAAGAAAAAAGGTTAATACACTATGCCCATTCAAGTCGACTCTCATCCCACTTTGGTCGGAGATATCCAGCCTCAAAACCCATGTCGTAACTCGTAGAATGCACATAATTCACCACCCAGTCCACATCCACCTCGACGCCCTCGGCCGCCTGACTCCACACCGTGATGGCAACGGTATTGTCGCCACGGTAGTCGAGCACGCCCGGCGGCACCGGAAAATCGACCTGGTTGCCGATATATGGGCTGAACCGGCCGTACTGGTAACCGTTCACGAAGAGCAGCGCGCGCAGACGGTTGGCGTCGCTGTCCGGGGATCTCAGACGGAATGAGATGGACACGTCCAGCCCGATGGGAACATTCAGGGGGACGACCGTGCGGAACACGCGCACACCTGCACCGGGCACTGACAGGGTCGACCTGCTGCTGTTGCCGGACTTGGTGGCTGTCCAGTTGGAGTCGGAGAACCCAGGGAGGTGGGCGCCCACACGCTCGGCGTACAGGCCGCCCTCGTTCATGGGTCCGCGCAGGGGATCGATGTTATCCTCTCTGCCTGCGGTGCCGGCAACCTTCCACTCCGTGAAGCTGTAGCTGCCCCCGGGACCGATGAGCGTCGCGTTGTGGACGCCTCGCGGCGTGATGGCTGCTTCGCGCAGCTCGTGCCCGGACTGGTCCATGAGCACGACGAGCGTGTTTTCCTCGCCCTTGGACTTGAGTGTGGAATTGGCGAACGAGTACGTGCCGTTATGCGTGCTCTCGTATGACAGTCCGTAGTACGAACCCACGTAGGCAGCGTTGAGCCAGACGGAGAAGCCAAAGGCAAACCCGCCAATAACACCTAGGTATACGTCCGTTGGGGGCTCGTCCGTAGAGGGGAACGTCGCTCGGTAGATGTGGTTACCGTAGTGGATCTTGTAGTCGTCGACGTAAAGGATCGGGTTATTGCCCGCGGGCTTGAGAGGGTTGGGCGTCTCCGTCTTGTTGGCAACTTGTATATCACTTTAGTAAGAAAGTTACAGGAAACGAGCTTGATCAGCGAGGTACTAACCAACCCAGGCCTTTCCGCTTGGCTCGTAGTCCTCTTCAATCTCCGGCAGGCTAGATGCCCACTTCCATGGACCGAGGGTGGGAAGCTCAAATTTCGACGGCCCCTGCGTAACAACAGTGTAGATGCCACTCTTGTCGTGATTCTTTACCGTCGCTCTTTCGCCATTCCAGGTAATTGAATGTAGTTTTCTCGGTCCAAAGACGGTGACTGACTGTGATTTTTTCTCGTCCCCGGTCAGGTGGAGGACTTTCTTCTTCTCGTCATAGCCAGCAGAGCGCACAAGGTAGGCTCCTTGGACAAGCACTGGAAGGAGTCAGCAGGGCGAAAAGATGCAATCGCTCTCATGTTGATTCTTCAAAGAAGTACTCACCAGTGCTGTTCTCCGGATTCATTGGATTATTATCCAAGCCTGGAGCCCAGAAGAGGTACGCAGACTGGCGGCTGAGGAGCAGAATGCGAGCCCCATCACCAAGCTCTATAATCTCCATGCCAGAACCCTGAACATACGACACGGTGACCCCATTATCCCTGTTATCGTAAAAGATCACGGCGTCAGATGCAGAGACGTTCTGGACACCCTTGACCCTAAACTCGCCAGATTCATCCTCGGGAAGCCACAGCGCAAGCACCTCTTTGCCATCAATGACAGCGTAGGTGAGAACCTCGGCCGTAGAGTAAACGAGCCTTTTGGACCCAAAGGTGAAATCCGCGACCAGAATCTTGGCCTGGTGGCCGTTGATGGTGATGGAGGAGTTGCCACCAAATTGGGGGACTGTGAGATTTCCTTCTGAAGTGCGGATGTCGAGTCTGAAGCGCTCGAGTGAGCTCGACTCGGATTTTGTGTGCATAACCACGTAAAAGGCCGCATCGGCGTCTGGGGTTCTCAGCTCCGCTGTGGTGATGGCATTGTTGTCAGTGTAGGTCGTGCCGTTGCCAACTCTCTCGGTGTGCACGAGATCGCGAGCGGATCGGGTGAACAAGGTGAGAAGCTTGGTTTCGTAGAACTTGTCCTGGAGAGAACGGTCCTCAGAAACAGGGGATGAATAGTCATAGCTCGTGGCGACGACAGGGCAGGCTGAGTGGCCCCAGTTAGTGCCGCCAAATAGCATATACAGCGAGATAGCCGTGACGCGTTGATATATGAGGTTGCGGTAAAACATGTTGGCAAACTCCGGACCAATGTCAGTCGGACAACCGCCTTCGGGCCCACCCCAGGGATTGTACGAGCCGCCTTGAAACTCGGGCATAAAGTTGGGCTGTGTGGGCGATTGCTCGAGGAAATAGTCAAAGTACTCGACTGTCTTATAGGAGACGTACTCGCCGTTGGCGGCTAGACACTCAGATATATTACAACTCCAGCAAGATGGGTAGCTGTCGAGCCCGACGACGTCGACGTTTCCCGTCGCGTTGGAGAAGTCTTCCGACCACGAATAACTGTTCATGTTGGGGTTGTTGTGGGACAACGGGACGTCTATGCCGTTGTTTCTGGCGCTGTCTTCCAAGAGCTGCATGTAGTCGGCAATGGTTGGGTCGACGATACGGTTGTCAATATCCTTCCATTGACCGGCGAGCTCGTTCTCGATCTGGAACATGATGACGTTGCCGCCGTTGGTGATGAGATGTGGTTCAATAATGGCAGATATTTCACGCATGTACGGCTCCCACGCCTTGGTGTATCGCTCGTCGTTGTTGCGCAACTCGCCATACTCGCCCGTCGTTAACCACAAGGGGAACCCACCAGCGTTGGTCTCAGCATTCACGTAGGGACCAGGCCGGACAATGACATACAAGCCCAAGTCCTTGGCCAGTGTCAGGATAGACGTGAAGTTGTGGCCGCCATGTGTGAAGTCGATAGCGTCGGGGGAGGCACTGTGGTAGCCCCAGGATGTGTAAATCGAGAATGTGTTGAATCTGAGGTGAATGTCAGCCTGTGTATCGTGCAGCACAGGTACAGAAAACTTGCCCAGCTGCCCTGATCTTCTCGAGGAGGTCTTTCCATAGCTCCGGACTGGTATTGATTGTAGATTAGTTGTGAAAGGTCCGTATGTTCACGCTATGACGGCTAAACTCACATGGGATACCTCCATGGATGGAACTGAAAAAGTCAGCACAACGTTCTCTATTGCGGATGCGAAGATGATCTTTACCTCCCCGGAGAAGATAAAGAGCCTCCGACCATTGACATGATAGCTGAAGTGATCCCTGTTGATCGGTGGCAAGTGTCAGCCAATTTGTAGAAGCCCAGTCAATCCAGCGAGAGAGAGAGGCGTACCACTGAACAACTTTATTGAGCCCATTGTCGTGCAGAGGCCAATCGATCGTGCCATTGTCCTGAGCGAGGCCAATTCCGGTTAAGGCCAGAAGACCAGCCAGGGCCAAAAGTTTCTTGGTAAGTTTCATGCTGACTATCCTGGGCAACTTGAGGCTTCAAGCGAAGTGTCGTGACCACAACTGGACCGGGGCAACGCGGGTGGCCAATCCATGTTTAAACTATGTTTTGGATAACGCGAGATCCCGAGGCGTGAGGGGTGAATAAGTCCGGGGGGGGGGGGGGGTATATAACCCGTCCAATTGAGGAGGAGAATTCCGATTTCATCCATGAGGTCCTATAGCAATAGTGGAGTTTGAGAAATTGGATGAGTATTATTAGTAACGACGCCTAGTCTGCTCGGGAGATGAAGAGCCGAAATGTGGAGAGACTGGGGTGTCGAGCAGTCCAAGATTCCCTCCCCCGCACACGCGTAACCTGTACGAACCGATGCTGGCAAGCTGCTAAGATCTGCGGAGACGTCTTAGAAAGATAAGGACCAACCTTGCCTTCTGATGGTGGCGTGGGATGATATGTTCTAGATGATGGGAGATGTCCAAATCTGAACGTTGCTTGCCATTCACTTGTTTCGTTTCTCTCGTTTGAATGTGTCCGTTTCCCCACAGCGCTATGATCGTCCCCAACTTCATCCCCGCATGACTGCCGCATGGTTCTTCAATATGCATTATCCTCGGATACAATAATGGCGAAGTGATCGGCAGGTCACTAACGGGTAGCTGCTTGCTCGCACTTGTCAAAGAGAGCCGGGCAGGATGTCAACGTAACGCAAGACTTGTGGTGCGACAAGACATGGTTGCCAGTCACTATCGGCTCAGCCTCACCATGGCGAGAGGCTGTCTCGATCTTCTCAAACGGCCGCTACATGCCCACAATATCTCCCGTCTCAGTTAAACCAGGTGTGGTATTTTGGGTTGGGTCACAGGCAGTGTACAACGCCCGGTGCGTGGCATGGTCGCGCGATATCTGTCTGTCCAACGTGGTCAGGATGTGATGCAAGAAAGCACAGTGATAGTGACACATTCGAAAGCTAAGTCGTGAGTAGAGAAAGTAGTGTCACCATCACTTGGACACTTACGCTTTGATCCAGGTGGTTACTGTAGCGAGCTGCTGGCCCCGGCCAATGCAATATGACATCCGGCATGACGAACGAGTGGAGATCTGCCGATATACGATGAGGATAGTATCATGATTCTCTGCATGACCAACGGTGGCTTGCCAACACTTCCGAATAAGGTGACGCAGTTGCAGTGTTTGGTTGAAGTCGATGTCTGTGAGAGGGAGAGAATGACGGAGGGATAAATAGGCAAGAGCAGCCAGACCCAGATCCCCTTTGCTCCTTCCCGTTGTCAACTGTTGCCAACCTTTGAATCCCCAAGGGTGACATCACCCACACTCACATCGAATACCAAAGTGTTTGCACTGACCACAGCGGTGAATTCCTTTATGAATGTTTCTCTTCTGTCACCCAGTCTGCACTGACATCTAAACAGTCGCCCCCAATCATCCCCCTCCTGATCCCTAATATATAATCAAAAGGTCACACTGCCTTTTCCCCCCCTCCATATTCCTCTACACCGCATAAGATTCTCACGTATTCTCTGCTCTCGTACCACCCACCATCACGGCAGAATCTAGCATCGCCGTTCACTTCTCTTCCTTTTATACTACTCCGCGCATTATACATCGTTCTCCTTTGACCTGATAACTATCTTGTTTCCTCTTCTCGCAGACAGACTGAGGGTGGACATCTTCCACCTGTGGCCCTTATGTCGCTGGCACAGCATGTGACCCAAGCCGAGGGCTTCGACTACGATGGTCCAGCAGCTCCTGCTCCTGAACCAGAACAGGAACGAGATCGTGGTCAGGAGAATGAGCAAAATCAGAGACAAGAACAAGGACACCAGGAGGGACAAGGTCAGGAACAGGAAATTGACCAAGAGACTACTCAGCAAGATGTCTATGAGACGTCTGAGAATGGCCTCATGTCACCGTCTACTATTGTTGTAGAGGACCCAGAGTATGGACCGAAATGGCAAAGGCTCAGCCATGCACTCATCGAAGTCACTCCTCCTCGGAGGCAGCGTAGCTCTGCCTACTACGTGTCTAACACCAAAAGATTCGGTGAGTGCCTTCGGCAGAGGTACCATATGCCCATTTATTGACCAGCTAATTCTCCAGTCCAAGTGACTACCGGAGTCGTCAGCTGCTGGCTAGCCTCTAGTATTGTGTTTGGCTTTGCAGCACTCAGGCCCGTTCTCATATCCGAAGGCGTCTATAGAAACCTCTGTCCCGGAGAAGAGCACTCCGGCGAGATTCCCTGCAAGGAGCAGGACATGCGACTGAACCTCTTCTTCATTGTCGGCTCCATAACCGCCAACGTTTCTTCTCTGTTTGCGGGGGCTAGCCTGGACCGCTTTGGACGACGTGTCTGCTGGATCATATCAAGCATCTGCCTTGCCGCTGGCACTCTTATCATGACGGCTTCTTTCGCCTACCCCTCGTTCGATGGTTACATTGTTGGTAACATCATACTTTCCCTAGGCGGAACGTACCTATTCGTGCCCACCTTCGAGCTGGCCAATGCCTTTCCCCTATCATTCGGGCTGATTGTGGCTCTGGTGACGGGTGCATTCGACGCTTCATCCGCCGTGTTTCTCTTCTACCGAATTGCCTACGACGCTTCCAAGGGCGCTTTCACCCCCGCTACATTCTTTGGCTGGTACCTTTCCGTGCCCCTGGTCATCTTGGCTACCGAGCTGATCTACATGCCGGCTCACGGCTATCACACCATGTCGGAGCTCGAGGTCAAGATTGAAAGAGCGCAGAACCCAGATGCTGATGCACACGCTTCGGATGACAATATTACCGACCGCGACGAACTGATCCGCGTGCGCAATGCTCGCGCTGATCACCGCCATGACAAACTGAGCCGCATGGAGAGCCTTGCTGGAAATACGTTTCGGCGTCGTAGACGTTTCTATGACAAGGACGCCTCTCACGAAGCCAGCGGCGTCTGGGGTGTCCTGCACGGCCACCCATTTCGTCGCCAGATTCGCTCTCCGTGGTTCACTCTCATCCTGGCCATGACGGTTATTCAAATGTTTCGCATGAACTATTTCATTTCCACGATCCATCGGCAGTATACCTACATGCTTGGCTCAGAGGAGAAGGCCGAGTGGATAAACCACTTCTTCGACGTTGCTCTCCCCGTTGGTGGCGTGGCTACTACCCCTGTCATCGGTGTCCTGCTCAACAGTCTTAGAGTTTCTACCATCACTGGCTTGCTGACGGGCTTCATTGTCTTCAATGCCGTGTTAAACTGCCTGCCGTTCCTGTGGGCTGGATATGCCACTGTCCTGACCTTTGTCCTTTTTCGGCCATTCTATTACTCTGCTATTTCGTATGCCTCCCCCAATCCGTTTTCCTTTATCTCGCCAATACGATTCTTTTGGGAGAAGTTGGGGTTCTGACAAGGAGCAGCGACTACTCCACCAAGGTATTTGGCTTTGTAACCTTTGGCCGTATCTACGGAACCCTCGTTTGCATATCCGGCCTGTTCAATTTCGCCCAGTCAGGCGTAGACATTCTCGTCTACGGTCACCTCCTCAACGGCAATCCGACGCCGGTCAACATCGTCCTCGGAATCGTGGGAACCATCATCGGCCTGGGGCTGACCGCTTTTGTCATCATCAGCGGTCGTGCGTTCGCCACCGTCAAGGCCGATCGGGAGGCCTATGCGGAGGCCATGGAGACGCGACGTCTGTTGTATTTCGACAACATTTCCTACGGGGCTGTTGGGAGATAGCATTGAACCGGAGAGCCGAGGTACGAGGATACGTGAAATGATTTTTGTTTGTTTTGATTTTTGCTACCGTGGAAGAGATAGAAGACATGAGTCGAAATGATGGTACGTGTGGAAGAAATGACATTGATGGAACAAATGGCATCGATACAATACATGATTCATCTCGAAGCAAGATTGAGGATTTTCCCAATATTCAGATAATGCGTGTTGTTGAAGCATCTGATTTTTGACGTCAGACGATAGGTCTGATAATAGTAAATACTAGTCAACTTCAATGGAAGAGATTCGTTACTTTGAGCCGCTACGTGTACTAGTTCGTGCCCATGGTCATGGCGCCCATGGCCATGAGGAGAGGATCCAAATGGTCCATCGTCATCTTCTCCAGCACATACAACTCTTTCAGAAGACATGAGGCAGCCACAGCCTTGAAGCTCTGCAGCTTGTCCGTCCCGTGCACCGCGTTGCCGCCCGTCGCGGTGCCCTGCGCCCCCGAAGCGTACACGCATGCAAGGCACAGCGCCACCACCGACTCCTGCGTCGTCATCTTATCGCGGTCACACATCATCCTGACGACCCACTCCATCGTCTTGTCGGCCTCCTCTTGCAGCTTGATTGATGAGTCGCGCTGCCGGCGCGTCTGGCTACCGCGCTTGTTGAGAATGCATCCGCAGAAGACTTCCACTTCGGTGATGGGCACGCGTGGGTTGTCGGAGAATTGCCACATCAGGTCGTGCAACGCATATTCGTATCTGTTGTTTTACAAGAATTAGAATCCTGCTTTATGAATAGAAGAGCAGGATGATAATATGAAAATAAAAGACAGCAATGAGACATACAAGTTGCGAATTCGAATGGCCTGCTCTTCCATGTCGCGATACTCAATGTTGTAGCCATTCAAGGAAATTTGCATATGCGTGTGTGCAAGCACCTTATCCCACACCGACTTGTCACTAGGAGAGCTGGCTAGGGCGGCTGCCGAGATGTTCTCCCTCCAGATCCTCTTCTCATCAACACTGCGGTATAATTTTCCGAGTATCTTCGTCGACTTGTGGAACCGATGCTTGTACATACCCATGCCCTTGGTCCGACCGTTGTCGTCCTCCCAGTCATCGCCAATGTGGGAGATCTGCCCGATGTCGTACGTTTGGAGAGGCGGCACGGGGGCGAGGAAATCGGGACGCGTCCGCGGCGGCTTGGGAAGCGCACGGGCTTCTACAGGTATGCCCGTCTTAGACGAGTCCACTGCCGTCGAGTGCATCTCGGCCAAGGCAAGGCAATCCGGGTCTGCTGTCCCTTCATCTTTGATGTCCGCCATAATTTGGTGGCGCGTAGCAATGACGCCGAGTATGTCCGTCTTCATAAAGTTGATGAAGAAGTCGGCAATGTCGTCGCGAGTGACGTCCCGGTCCAACGGCTTGGGGTCGACACGAGGGTAGTCAGCCGGGGCAAATACCTGCCTCGGCATGGCCTCTTGATCCCAAATGATATTGTACAGGTCGCCATCGAGGTCCCCTCCACTAAGCTGGCTAGGGAGGTCTCGGTTCCCATGCTGGCTGAAGACAACGCAGTTCCTCAGATCTCGTAGCGGGCTCCCCACCGGCGGAGTGACCAGGTTGACCAGACGAATATCTCCCGGATGTAGAGCTGGTGACCTTGTGATGATGGCTCTGCCGTAAGAAGGTAGCTTGCCGATACGCGCCGTCGTCTTGTCAAAAGTGACGTAGACTTCGTGCTCTCTGAGAAAGCCCGTCTCGTCCATGATGCCAAACAGGGTGATGCCCTTTTCCACAGGTATCCTGGCCTTGTGCTTGAGGAGGCGGAGTTCGCGCAAGACAACGTGCTCGACCACCGTCTTGAGAAACGTGTCTGTACGGTAGTCAGCCCCGATCCTATCAAGCCGCTTGATGAATTGGGGGAAGGCCATGCTGGACCCAATGAGCTGGTAGCGGAGGAATGTGCTGGTATTAGATGCCGTGGCTGTAACGGCTCTGATGATGCGTAGTTCACGGTTCTGCATGTCCACGAACCATTGGTCTGGCGTCCCCATGTCCTCGAGTATCTTAATCATCTGGCGATTAAGCATGAGGTGGAGAGGCTTCGAGGCCGTGTCACAGATGCCCAGGTCCCCGGCATCGTCACTCGGGAACTTTCGCATTGACTCATTGCGTATACAAATGAGCTTCCCCCTCAGCCTCGTGTCGAGAGAGAGCATCCCCTTGGAACCGGCCCAGCGGATCTGGAAGCATGTCGCGGCTCGAGCGCTCTTTGGCAAGCGAGCCCAGAACTCCCGAGCCGCTTCCAATGAGATCGTCCCCACGCCGTCACTGAATATACGGCTACCATCGGCATTCTTGACATCGGGAATGCTTCGATTTTGGATGTTGGTCTCGAATATGGGAACGGCGTATGGGGTCTCGCTGAAAGCCTGCCCAATCCGGGCGGCGCACTTGGCGGGGACTCTGATATTGCTAAAGGTTCCGAGGGATTTGATGATGGTCTGGTAGTCCTGCCTTTGGAATCTTGAGTCCACAAATGGAGCCATGAGCCATACAGAATGGGAGCGAAGTGACGAGTGAGAGAACCCCAGGAAGGAGAAGTGCCTGCCGGCAATCTGCAGACCGTCTTGAAGGACACCTCTGTACCGGGAGAATATCGCGTCGTTTGATACGTTGGGATTGAAGGACAGATCCTGGCCGTCGTCGTCGCAGAAGAGACAGCGGATGAAGTAGTCTGTATGGTTTGAGAATTTCCGGAGGATGCGGTTCTTGCTTTCAGCGTCTGGACCATGCAGGATGACCCTGGTTGGCGTGACCATGGCCTTCATGACCCAGGCCTGGTGATCGGGTATGAGGTCTCCCTCATATTTCATGCGGAGCAGCGAATCATCCTGGCGCATGTCTCGTGTGATGTCGGCGACTCTGTTGAGAAGCTCGTCGGCGTCCACCTCGGCGGGATCTCGACCAGGGCACGCATAAGGAATCTCTTGATAGAGCTTCTTCATGGCCTCCATTGTGTAAGGGAAGGGTGTTCTATTTTCATTCGCAGCGCGTGCCTCGTCCTCCATGCGCTCCAGCATGCGAAACCCGGTTGCTGGGTGGATGTAATTGTTCCATACGAGGGCCTGGACCTGGAAAAGCAAAATGAATGGCAGCCTCTCCTTTACAGGCTTGATTTGGTTGATCCTCGTTTCGAATCGACTCATGCCCGATGCGTAGTCGTGGATAAAGGGCTCGGGCGTCATGTCAACGGCGAGGTTATCGTTAGTGACAGAGATGAGGTCCTTGGCCGTGATGGTATGCAGCGCAGATCTGAAATGGGGTTCTAAGAGCCACAGTCGATAGACGAGGCACCTGCCAACATAGGAGGAGTGACCATTCCATTTGGGACAAGATGAACAACGCTGCCATTTGGTGCGTAGCTGATTTTTCATGACTGAGTGACTCAAGGCTTCGTAGAAGCGCGGCGGTTCCGCCAAGACCAGAGTCAAGGTACAGTCATTTTCATTGGCAATGAAGTCGTGGATAGTGTGACACTGTATCTCTATGCGGCACCAGTCCTCGCGGTTTATGGTCATTGACTGTTGGGTGAGCTCACAAAGCATCGAGGAGTCCGACCCGGGCACGCGGAAGCCAGTCTGGCGAGCAAAGGTCAACGTCTTGGTCTCGTGGTGAAAGAAGTTGTGCCCGCAGTCTATGGCCTGAACCAAGAACTGGGAACCGGAGGAGAGGTTGGCTGGGTTCCGCTTGGGTGCTTGGCCCCTGTTCGGTTGTTCATTCTTGGCGGTAGGTTTGAGCTTGATAAATTGGCGTGGAGCGCGACTGCTTCTCTCGATGAAGACCGGCACCTTGGTAATGTGCATTCTCGCTATGTCGGGCCTCCGAGACTTTCCCTGAGAGACGTCGGTGAGTTTGCCATGTTTTCCGATGAACTTTTTGCCATCAGCAGGGTCATCAAAGTAGACCCAGGCGTGCGGCTTTCTCTGAGGCTTGTCGCTCGACCATTGCCTTATGAACAAAGCCTTCATAAAAGGGTCAAGTTCTCGGCCCAAGTCTTCATTGGAAAAACTTGGTGGAAGACCCTTGAGTATGACCTCCATCCTGGCGTTTCTTGGAAAACCTTGTAAATGGGGCTCTGGCAGACCCCAATCTTCCAGACCTCTGGAACATAGGTGATGTCGACGGGTTCTTATAGACGACGGGCAAACTAGGACGTGCAGAAATGACGGAGAAGGCCAAGCCCGACAGCCGCCGATTGAATGGCGGCGCGGCGAGATAGAGTATGCACGGCTGCCTGCATAAGCGCAGGATCCTTGGTGTGTTTGTTTCACCAGAGGGATTCCACGGTCGCCGATCCAAGAGGCCCCTGCCAACGGACACGTGCGTCAGATATTGATGGGATGCGTCGATCTCGGCCGTGAATGGTAGCTGGTGGCAAGCCGCTTCTTTCGTGTGTAGGATGTGAGGTCCCCGAGGCTTCCTCCTGAGCCGTGAAAATAAGACGATGGAGTGGTGACGCAAAAACGGTCCCCTGCGTCGTCGGCCCACCGCGTAATGATGGCAAGTATCCGTTAAGCGGAGCATGATGGATGGGTATTCTCACTGACCTCTGGGTACATGATGTCTGGTGACCGAAGGGGGCAGGGAGCGGGGTTCAAGACATCCTCAAAAAGAGCCAATAGCGGGTTGAGTCGGCAGGTGACGTGACCTAGATGAATGTCACATAGGTGGTTGAGCATGTCGAGTTTGAAGTGCGTGTTTGATGTCTAACAAATTGTTGGGTGTGACGGAGAACGAAGACGGCACCTGAAGCTGAGAGGAGGGGGGGATGGTAGGGAGCAAACAAGAGCCGATGAGGAAGGTGCAGGCCAAGGATTCCTTCCTCGCCAACTTCTCTCTGATCCCACAATATAGCTTAGATTATCGGAAAAGAGAGAGGCCATGTTTCTACTTGCATGAACTACCGTCATTCTCTCTATCTAAAAATAGTTTCGCTCATCATCGCAGGTCAACCTCAAAATCAACCAGACATACTTGGCCACGTCAGGGTAAACGTTTACACGTGCACTGAAGACCCGGGGAAATCTGCCGCATCTCTTCCATCATTCCAACCCCGCCCATCAACCCCGCTACATGGTTGAACGGTAAAGAAAGGACGAGATAGTAAGAAGACGTTGAAAACAATTCAGTGAACGGGGGACACCGTGTTGAGCTATTGAGATAATTCAGCCAGCAATTCGAATACATACTTGATTTTGACAAGTCTTCCTCCCCCCTTTCACTTCCAGCCTACTGACCATCCCGCCGCATCCCACTGACCACTGACCATTATTATGGCGCCCGGCATCCTCTATGTGACCATGCAGCCCAAGCCGGGCCTCTCCCCAGACCAATTCCACGAATGGTACGATAACGAGCACGGTCCTACGCGCCTTCGCCTACCCGACATCTTCCCCAACGGCCTGCGGTACCGCGCGACCGACGGGCAGGCGCCTGAGTTCCTGGCTGTCTACGACGTCACGTCGATGCACCACCTCGACACGGAGCGCTACACGACTCTGCGGGAGCACCGGTCGGCGCGTGAGGCCGAAATAATTGGCCAGGTCGAGGTGAAGCGATACTTCTACGACCTACTCGACAAGCGGGAAGCCGCGGGATTCGTGCCCGTCGAGAACCTACCCGGTGACGAGGGTCTGGGCCGTGTCACCGTCGCCGTCGAGATCGAGACCACGGCCGCGGACGCAGCTGAGGGCGAGTACATAAAGTGGTACACAGAGGAGCACGTCGGCATGCTCTCCAACGTCACCGGGTGGCTGCGGTCGCGGCTGTTCAGGGCTTCCGAGGGTGAGGGCAGGAAGACGCTGCTCGCGCTGCACGACTACGCTCCCACCAACGGACTAGATGGACCAGAGCACAAGGCGTCGATGGAGACACCCCGGCGCACGTCCGTCTTTGAGAGGTCCGTCGCATCCAAAGGCCGCCGAACCTACTCCCTCTTCTACATCTTCGGCCCAGCCGCTCGGGACCTCTCATCTCTGTCCCGCCTGCCGCCCGGATCGACCGGCGACTTCTCTTCGGGAGACGGTCTGACCGTGACCGTCGGCGGCAGCTCCGACGCCTCCATATCATCGTACATCTCCACGTCCGACTCCCTTTCCATCCCGTACCGTCTCGAGGGCAGCGGCGACGCCGATGCACCCACCATTGCCTTCTCCAACTCTCTCCTCACATCGCTGCACATGTGGGATCCGCTCGTTGCCATCATCAAGACGGCCCGACCGGACCTGCGCATCCTGCGCTACGACAGCCGCGGCCGGCACTCCGTCCCTCAGCCCCCCCACGCCGCCAGCCTCGACGACGTGACGGCCGACCTCGTCGCCGTCCTGGACGCCCTGCGCATCCCTCGACTCCACGCCCTGGTTGGCGTGTCCATGGGCGGCGCCGCATGCCTCAACTTCGCCCTGAAGCACCCCGCCCGTCTCTCCCGCCTGGTGGCATGCGACTTCAACGCGGCGTCCAGCCCGGCCAACACCCAGGCATGGAAGGACCGCATCGCCATCTCCCGCGAGGACTCTTCCGCCGGCCTGGCCACCAAGCTCGCCCCCATCACCGTGGACCGGTGGTTCCACCCCGACACCACGGCCAACAAGCCCGACACGGTCAAGTGGATGGTGGACATGGTGTCGGCCAACGACGTCGAGGGCTTCGCAAACAGCTGCACCGCCCTATGGGACTACGACCTCAAACCCGCCATGCCGACCTGCGACGTGCCCTCTCTGCTCGTCGTGGGCGAGGGTGACGGCAAGGGCGCCCTGGCCAAGGTGATGGATGGGTTCAAGGCTCTGCTGGGGCCCAACGGCGCAGAACTCAGGGTCGTGCCCAACACAGGCCATCTCCCCATGTGCGAGGAGCCCCGGGTTTTCTGGGATGCTGTTGCTAGCTTCATCACCTGATCACAGTCTTGGCGAATGATGCAGAGGGAAAAACGATAAAAACGCGGTGAGAAGAGTGTGAGATTGATTTTCTCTTCCCATCCGTTCCATTCTCAATTCTTGTTCATCTTGATCTTGTTTCCTTTTCGATCCATGATCAATAATACTGCTAGATGTATCTCAAGGCAAACGAAGAATGCCGAATGCAAATCCCACCTCGAGTCCATCAGTCGTCGCGCGTAAAATGCTTTTCATGTTCCATGGCTCTTCACTCGTACCTCGGACACAAGACCAGGTCTAATAGGGGTATCGTTATATTTATAGTTATTCCTCATACGAGCATGGTAGCATTACTAGGTAGGCAGGGTTGTTCGCAAACACGCTAACGGGCAATTTTAGAATCAGGACCCCTGCACAGGTACAGAGGGAATGGAAAAGGTAAAGCCGGAAGCGTGGAGATGCTTCCCGCCAAACATGTATCCGCTCTCCTGATGATCCCCGCCAAGACCACTCTGCGCCACGTAATATGCCGGCCGTCGCTGGCAAAGCACGCCACTAGTGGCATGGAACCTGTTGGCCATGGTCGACCGTGAGGCTCTCCTCTTCTTCCTGCCTCTGGCCGGGGCATGCAGCGGAGTCGCATTCGCTTTTGCGTGCACGTATCTGGCATCCGGGGAGGCATTGTCCTACCTGCAGCCGAGGAAGCCGAACCTGACGCTCGACGGGTCCGCGTGGTGGCACAGCTCGCTGGCGCGGACGTAGCGGACGTAGTGCTCTCGGATCCAGTCTGCGACATCGGTCATGGCAGGCCTGATCTCCCACGTGTCCGGGTCGGCTTCGTAGAAGACGCGATCCCTGGCGTGGAATCGGCGACGGCGGCGTACGGCGTCGGGGGGTCCCGGCGAGCCTCCACGGCGCGTCGGCTCCCTGGGGAGCATGAGGTAGTCGACCAGCCATACCTCCTCGAGGTGCGGGAGGTGGCGGCCCAGGAACTGGTACAGGTGATGCGGGCAGATGCCGCGCTCCACCCGGGACGAGTGGATACGGCCGCAACCGGGGCAGGATCGGCTCTCGCAGCGGGATCGCTTCCACTCGTGGCAGTAGCGGAACGCGACGCGGCGGATGCGGTCGAGGTCAGGGCAGACGATGTGCACGGCCAAGACGTGGTCGGTGCGGTGTCTGGAGTCGTCGAGGTACTCGAGGAAGACGACGTCGCGGTGGAGATTGGAGGCCAGGATGGTGGCTCTCCCGTCATGAGGCGTGAGCTTCAGGGGACGGGGCTGCTCCCGGACGAAGTCGACCCATCTGCGTGCCTTGGCGTCCTGCTGCGCAATTCCGGACAGCCTGCTGGCCACCACCATGTACTGCGACTTGTCGGCCCTGGGATCCGCCGCCAGGGGTTGCAGGGTGCAGTGAATCTCCCGTCCGCGCCGTTCGTATCTGGCCTCCTCCTCCATCTCGGCCTTGACGTCTTCGTACGACGAGCGCACGCTCCAGGGGGGGGAGACGCCAAGTCTGGGCCTGACCCAGGCGAAGCGGTGGGCCGGGCCGTGGACGCGGAGAAAATGGATTCCCGGGTCCGGGATGGCGGCAGCCCATATTCTGTCCTGGAGCTCCTGAGGCAGGAGGGTGAAGTAGGCAAACTGCTTGAGACACGGGGGGATGTCGAAGCTGAACGGCTCGCCGTCCTCGGAAGCTTCCCCCGTCGAGAGGTCCAGCCTGGTTTCATGCGACCACTCCATGTCATCAAGGTCCACGGTGAGTGTGGGGGAGAAATCTGCAGTTGGCAACGGACGTGGAGGGGAGTGGGAGCAGGCTTTGGGAAGGTCAGCGAGTACGTCTGTGTTGTGGGAGGCTGTTGATATATATCGACGTCTCTGAAGGGGAGGTAAAAGGTGTCTGTCGCCCGTGACGACTAGCAAGTCTGAGGAAGATGAGAAGAGGGTCAGAGATGAGGATGACAATGTTGAGGGGGATAGGAAACGGGGCTAGAAGCTTCCATTATGGAAGTCGCAGGCAGTGTGTCGCGATGCTCAACATCCGTGAGTCTTCTGCAAGTGGAGTCTCCTGCTTTATTGTGTGCGCTGCCATTGTGCCTTCCTGATATGATATGTATCTGCTCTTTCCTCCTTTTCAGGTTTAATGAAGTTGATATTTTTCGACGGTAAACTCTGGTATTTCTCTCTTAGAAAAAAAAAAAGAAGAGGAACACTGAAAAAAACAGGAGGAAAAGAAGTAACAAAGAGAAAGGCAAAGACAGTCGCTTGCATTAACCTGTTACATCTATTGTCGAGTAAATCGGACGGGATATGGAGATTGTTGAGCAGTCGGGGGATGATGAGGTGTGATGGCACTCATACCAGGTCTTGCTACAACAGCAACAGCAACGGCAACAGCAACAATAACAACAACAGATATTACTGCAGGTACTATTAGCACTACAGGTTAGTATCGCTGCTGCTATCGCTACCACTACTAGCTACTACTGCTACTACTGCTACTGCTACTGCTACTACTGCTACTGCTACTACTGCCACCACCACTACATGTACTATTCTATGTATTACTGCTAGTAAGTAACACGGTGACAATACCCATCACTTATAGGGATATTATATTTACCGCCGGGAGATTTTGTTCCTTACTCTAGGAAACCGGTATTTGTGCATCCATGTACCGCGCATTATATGCAGCATTCTTGTATTATTATATCCCACCCCACCACACCTACTAACCCTTCCTTCGTATAACGCACATGCAATGCATATATATAAATGGGTCTACCGTTGGAATCTCCGATACAACCAGTCATCTATTCAGACAAGAGAAGGAGAGGCTATCAATGACTTACAGGGGAAGCAGGGATCAACACGATTCCCCTACTCGTACCTGTAATAGGTGTACGAGTAAACTTACATGTACGAGTAAACTTACATGTACGAGTAAGCCACGTGGGTCCCAGAAATGAGGCTTTTTCAAAAGAACACACTCCATCACTTAGACGGACGGTCTTGACAGGCGATACACCGTATGCCGTCCCCACCTTTATATGCAACCGGCTTACCCCTGCAGCCGGCTTATCACTGCATTAAGCATTTCGGTAATGCCATGGCGAATTCTTGCCACACCGTGGCGAGAGATTCGGTCATTTAAGTCCGATTCGAGCCGCAATCCACACTACTTGTACTCGGCAAACTACCCGTACATGTAAACTACATGCAAACTGCATGCCCCGACCATCGTCTTTTACTGCTGTGATGGCCATGATATCGCCAGACCGTCTGGACTTTCCCATGTACCGCGACGCCAAGCACTACATCGGAGTTTCAGGTCCAAATATCCGTAGATTTCTCTATCTCTGATGGACACGCATACGCATCCACTGAACCACCACTCGATGATCTGACACCGCAATTTTTTTTTTCTTTTCTCTTCCGTTGTTTTCTTTTATATATAATTTTTTTTTATTTTATGCTCAAACATTGGAAATCATACAAGTGCTACTGATACACGTTACATGCCCAGCAAGAAATACTATAAAGGAGGGCCTCTTCCCTCTCCTCCTTTGGCAAGACAATAGACACTCCAAGCCTCGTTCTCACATCTTCCTTCAAGACATACAGACATTCCTCAACACACGCACACACGCACGCACACACACACACACACACACACACACACACACAAGACCCGCCCTAAAGATGGACACCTCCTTCCCCACAGCAGAGGAACTCGTGTCCCGCTACGCCGACAACATCAAGGGCAAGATCATCCTGACCACCGGCGTGACCCCGGGCTCCATCGGAGCTTCCTACGTCAAGGCCGTGGCCGGCGGCTCCCCGGCGCTCCTCATCCTCGCCGGTCGCAGCCAGGAGAAGCTGGACAAGCAGGCGGCCGTCGTCCGTGCCACCAACCCGGCCGTCCCCCTGCGCACCCTCCTCATCGACCTGTCCAGCCTGGAATCCACGCGCCGGGCCGCCGCCACGGTCAACTCGTGGGACGACGTGCCCCGGATCGACGTCCTGTGCAACTCCGCCGCCATCATGGCCTGGCCCTACTCCGTCTCGCCCGAGGGCTTCGAGAACCAGCTGCTCACCAACCACGTCACGCATTTCCTCCTGACCAACCTCATCATGGAGAAGCTCCTCAAGTCTGACAGGCCCCGTGTCATCAGCGTTGCTAGCAGTGGGCACCGCTTCAGCCCCATCCGTTGGGGGGATATGCATTTCGAGGTACGTACATGGCATACATACACGCATGCGCACGTGCATATATCTGTCAACCATACTGACGCAGATACACGTGCAGGGTGGAAACTTCTACAACCCCTGGGCCGCATACGGCCAGTCCAAGACTGCCAACATGCTCTTCGCCATCTCCCTGGCCCAGAAGCTCGGTGGCCGAGGCCTGCTGTCTTACAGCGTCCACCCGGGTGCCATTGGCACATCCAACCTGGCCCACCATCTCGACATTCTCGACACGTGGGGAACGGATGATGGTGATAGCAAGGCATTGGGTATGTTCCCCCCCTCCCCCTTTCCTGACTCTGAAAACCGGGGGGCGAAAAAAGGAAGGAAAAAGAAGAAGAGAGAAAAGTGGAGAAACAAAGAAATCACAGACTAACACCCTCCCCCCTCAGCCGACCAAAACAGCATCATGGGCAACGAAGAATTGCGAGTCTCCATCCTCAACTCAAGCCAGGGCGCTTCCACCTACGTCAACGTCTCCTTCAACCCCTACATCGAAGGTAACAACGGCGCCTACTTTGACCAGCTTAGCCTTCCTGACCCGCTCAGCGGGAATGTCGCGCCCTGGGGTACGAGTGCGTCCGAGGCTGAGAGGCTGTGGCGCCGGACCGAGGAGATGGTCGGACAGAGGTTTTCTTACTAGACCCAGCATGAGTGTTGCATGTGTGCCCAGTGCGAGTCAAGGCGAGATGAGAACGTTTCGAAGCGAGTAATAACTATCAACGATAAAGCTGTTCCAGGATGATTATATAGACGGAAAGAAAATAGAAAAATAGAGTATAACCAGTTTAGCGTTTAGGGAATATTTTGCTTTTATCAATACATATACAGTTGTCAGACTTTTCGAGTCCACGTTTCTATCAATGGCCAGACGCCTATGAAAAGTAGAGAGAAGAAGGGAGGGAAAAGGAAAATGAGAAGAACAAGATGCAGGCCGACCGGTCAATTCTAGTCTTCGTTTGCCATATTCGTGAATATATATGTTGCCATACTAACTCAAAAGGCGGAGCCACTAATTAAATCAGGTGGAAGCGAGGAAAGAAATATCTGAATTTAATAGGAAGAAAGATAGAAAAAGAATGGGGTACATTCGAAATTGGGAGATTAGGAAAAGAAGAAGAAAATGTTTATTCTAACCCCGCCCAACGCCATACAATAGTTATAGTAATTATATCTAAGTTATCTAAGCTAGTACTTTCAGAGTTAGCGTATAATAAAATGCCGGTCCAGATCCAAGCCTCAGGCCTCTACGCAAACATCACCATCTTAGATATTTCTACAGTCTTGTCTTTCCTTAGATCGAAGAAGATTAACACAACCGCCACGCCCCTTCCTTTAAAGGGGCTAAAGCACCTGTATCATCTCCATCACCTACGTGCGCGAGAGAACGTAACCAACAATAAGGAAAAATAGAAAGAAGATGAAAGAAGATGAAAAACAAGAGAAAGAAGAGAAAGAAGAGGAAGAAGAGGAAGAAGAGGAAGAAGAGGAAGAAGAGGAAGAAGAGGAAGAAGAGGAAGAAGAGGAAGAAGAGAAAGAAAGAGAAAGAAGAGAAAGAAGAGAAAGAAAGAGGAAGAAAGAAAAAGGGAAAAAGGAAGGAAAGAAAAAGAAAGAGGAAAATCTCACACATACATCCCCCATTCTTGCCCCAACGACGGATGCTGGACGGCAATCTGCTGCGCAGCACTGATGCCACGGGGCTTGCTCAGATACGCCCTGCAGGCCTGGTAGTGGGCGTAGGCAAACGGCATGCGCATAGTTGCCGGCGACGGAGGCGAGGAGGGGCTCCTGTGGGAGAGGAACGGGTGGGGCCCCTCCCCGGCGCCGGCTATCTTGACGTCTGCGAGGGCGAGCAGGCCCCTCCCGTCGGCGTCGCGGCAGTGGACGTTGGCGCCCAGGTCGACGAGCTCCCTGACGGCGAGCTTGCGGCCGCAGCGGACGGCGACGTGCAGGGCCGTCTCGCCGCGGCGGTTGCGGGCGTTGACGTTGGCGCCGCCCTGAGTGACGAGCAGCCTGATGGTCTCCCTGCCGACCTTGTCGTCGCCGTCCTCGGGAAGTTCCGCGCAAAAGGCCATGAGAGGCGTGTTCCCGTCGGCGTCGTGATCGTTGACGTCTACCTTGGCATCCAACAGGCTGCTGGCCGTGTTCATCCGAAGGGTGAGGACCGGTTGGCTCGAGTCGTCAAGGTAGAATGATTTGTGGATCTCTTCCTCCTGGGGAGCTGCGGCCTTGGCCCTCCCGAAGCTGCCACCGCTTCTCGCGGCGGGCGGCAGTAGGTCTATCCTGTCTCTCCTGGCTAGATAGCTCCCGGGGCACATTGGCGCAGCGGCCAGGCAGTGCAGTCCGTTGCGGCCGTGGTCATCTTGAATATGGGGGTTCTGGGAGGCATGTGTGACGACCTTTATGAGGTCGTTGTATGCGTACTCCGGATTCTGGGAAGAGGACACGCGGTCTATCGGGAAAGCCAACGGCACCACGCCTAGGGCGTCTCGGGAGCGGCAGGCGTTGATGAGCGAGTACCGAGTTGCTATAGCGTTCACCAGATGTAACCTCGGGGGGCCTTGGACCATGTGGAGAAATGTTCGACCGAAGTGGTCGCGGGCTGAAAGGTCAAGCCGGCTGTCGGAGGGAAGATGCGGCAGCGCCGTGAGGGCATCCAGCAACGCGTATATGTTGGACGCCTGCGCGAACCAGCCGGGATGGAGCGTGTGCAGGAATGTCTGACCGGCAGTATTGGCGGCGCCGAGGAAATCGGCAAACCGTTGGTGGCGCACGGCATGGAGGAGGACCTCTGAGCGCCCTCGTACGGCCAAAAGATGGAGCGGCGTGTTGCCAAACACATCCCTAGAGTCGGGCTGGACCGAAGAGAAACGGCCATTGAGAATCTCTCGAGCAAGGGGTGTGGGCCCGTCTTGTCCAACCCAGGCCAGGTTCAGATTCTCGGTCAGGGCGCGGCAGATGCACGTTGGCATATGGCATCTCTGCGGTTGGGAGAAGCAGTAGGCCTTCTGGAACTTGTGGAAGTCGATGAGGAGGAAGTCACCGGGGAGGGGGGGCAGCACCGTGGTCAAGGGGTGTGCAGCGTCTGGATCAGAAGTCCAGCTGGTGAAGGGACTTGAGCCAGAAGTGGGCACCTTGAAGTCGCTCGTGGCATGGATGGTCAAACGCTTGATAAGCCTCTTGACGATGTGGATGCACCTGCTAGAATGACCGGAGAACAGTTCCCGAGAGCCAGTTGAAACATCTGTGGAGTCGGAGAGGTTGGTAGCCGTGCGCGCGATGGTCGAGGGCGAGAATGGGTCAGCGTCGACGAAGGCACGAGACGCCTCCCGGCCATGCTGCTGAGGTTCGGATGTACAGGAATCCAGGGGTAGATAGCAGCCATCCCATTCCTGAGCTCGAGGGGACTCGGATGAGCTGACAGCAAAGTCGGGGGAAGCGGCAGCGGTCGCGGCGTATGATTGGCGGTACTGCTCATAGCGTACCTCCACGTCTTCCTCGTTTCCGGGCCTTGTCCATCTCGGCTGCTTGTCGAGAAGTGCTTTGAGCTTCTTGTTGGCTGATTCGGGACTGTACAGGTGTCAGAGGTCAGAGGGAGAGGGAAGCGATGCTCTCACGCGGGCTTGCACACCTAGGCTTGGCTCCCTTGTTGGGGCAATAGTGCCAGATGGCGGTAAGGATGGTATCGAGATCGAGCAGCGTGTACTCGTAGAGCCGTGTCAGCTTACGCAGGGAGGACGAGTCCCACAGCGACGGACGGCCAGTCTCGGCCATGCCTTGTGAGGAAGAGAAGGAAGGGGAGTGGGAAGGATGTGTGTGAGCATAGTTCGCCGGGGAGAGGCTGTCCATGGTGCAGTGCATGAGCAGCGGAGAGGGTAGTTGTGTGTAACGGCGGTGAAGATTGATTGAATCCTAGACTGCCCAGGTAGACTGTCTAGGTAGAGACGGTCTAGAATGGCTCGAAGTTGCATGGTGGCTGTTTGAAGAGAGAGCTATATACATACCTGCTGCCTAGCAGTGAACCGAAATGAGGCAGTGATTAATGCTCGAAGGGGGAGAAGCATCGAAGAAGAGTCAAAGAAAGAAAGGCTGCATAACGATCATTACTGAGGCTATGCAGACCCCGCAGGTGCATGGGAAGGCCAATCAGATGGAGATCATACAATACTCGTACTGAGAGCGTAGAACATGTGGAGGGAAATAACGTTGGCTCCGAATCTTGCCCTGAAAGGCGGATCTCCATCACCCGCAAGGGGGCCATGTCATGCGCAACATGTAGAAAATGATGAGTCTGTCACGGAGTGGGACATTGCAGGGGAACAATGTACCAGTACCGCCGCCCCCCTCCCTCTATAGAAGAATATCTGTGGAGACCTGGAGCACACACACACAATCCACACAACAAGGCTGATGCCTCCAGAACCGAACGACTGGACAATTACATGTCCTGAGCCACACTGCAGGTGTTGGGCTGTGTTTTCTTCTTCTTTTTTTTTTTTTTCGGCGTTGAAGATGACTAATACAAAACATGTATGTCTGCATAGGATAAACGGGCATTTGCTCGCCTTGATTCTCCGAGGCTAGGCAACTACCCGCATCAATCATAGCAAGGGCAAGAGCATGGTGAGGCAATTGACCCGCGGACTGCTAATACCATGATGAGGCTGACACATGGGTGTGTGTGTTGTGTGTGTTTAGACGGTAAAATAGAGAAGTGGAAAAAAAAAGAAAAGGGGAAGAGTGTCACACCAAATATTGCTGGCCTCGATAATGGGCCTCATGCCATTCATCTTCTATATGTATCATCTCTCTTCTCATAGCCGAGGAGTTACATGTATTGACATTGTGCCTTTACTCAGCCACACAGTATCCACATCAACACTCGTACCCATCAACCGCGATGAGCTATCCGCCCCAAGACCAGACCAGACCCGAGACCGGATAACGTCGTGATTTAAATTCAACCTACGGGTCAGCCACAACAATCGCCTTGCCTGAAGCCTTGCAAAACAGGCCTTGTTGCCTTGCCTGAAGCCTTGCAAAGCAGGCCTTGTTGCCTTGCCTCGTTCGCCATTCCTTGGTCACCTGTTTTCTCTTTCTTCACATCAACCCAGCAGTCCTACCGCTTCGATCCGCCCCATACCTACCATCGTTTAACCTCGCCACACTTTTTGCACTTTCATGCTCACCGCTATCGACAATTCCGAGTTTGCAATGGCACCGCTTGGCCTCATTCAGCTGACTGCCCAATTCGCGAGTGCAGAGTAATGCCGTACCCAAGCAAAGCACACCTGAACCTGATACGGCGTCCAAAACCATCACGACCGATCAACACAACAATTGATCATAATGACGAAGCACGACAAAAACAGACGAGCCCTTGGACTGAACTAAATGGATTAATTACCACTACCGCCATAATAGGCTTTCTAACAAATCCGATCCTTCCTCCACCAATGAACCCGACAAACACGAATGTAAAAAAGAAAGAGGAAAGAAAAACTGGTAATACGTTTTTTTACCGTGGAATATACTTCGGGGTGGAGGAAGCCAAACAAAGGAAATAACATCATCAAGGAATTGGAAAAAAAAAAAAAAAAAGACAAGGAAAGAAAGGGATGGGCATTAAACAAGCAGCATGGCCAGGCCGGCCGCCGCGATCGCTCGTCCGACACCGCGGCTGCCAACACGACCGGCCGCCGCAGTGGGAATGGGGGGTGTGGGTGTGGGTGTGGGGGTGACAGGGGTAGGCGTGCCTGGAGTAAGAGAGGGCGTGTGGGAGGAGGGCGTGCCGTACCCGCTCGACAGGGGGGGTAGGCTGGCGGAGGGGGGGACAAGAGAGGGGATTTTGCTGGTGTGGGAGGGCACGTAGGTGAAGACAGTGGTTGGGGTGGATGCCCCAGGGAGAGTGGTGGTGATGAGCGTCGTGCCCGAGGCCGGAGGGGGTGCCGCTGTTCCCTTGGTCGTGGGGACGGGGGGCTCCTCAGCCGTGCCGCTGGCCTCCTCGGTCGATGTGACGGGACACACGGTCGTGGAGACGGCGACGGTGCTCGTCACGATGGCCGTCGTGGCGCTCTCGGCAGGGCAGTCGGGCACCTCGGGCGGGCACTGAGTGACGGTCTGGTACGAGGTGCTCCAGATGGTCGACGTGCTGAAGCCGGTCGTGATGGCCTGCACGGTTGTCGTTACCCCCTGAGTTGTGGTGGCCTTGACTGTCGTCTTCTCGTCTGTCGAGGCGGGCGGCGCGGCTGTCTCCTCGGTCGTGGCGGGAGGGAGCGTTGTGGCCTCCTGCGTCGTCGTGCTAGACGGCTGAGTGATCTGGTCCGTTGATGTGGTGGCCCCGGGCCGGGTGGTGGGCAGCTCGCTCGTCTCCGTTGTGCCAGGAGGGGCCGCCCCGGTCTCCCCGGTCGACGTGGCAGGTGACACAGTGGTGACAATCTCGGTCGATCCCTCCTCAGTTGAGGTGACGGGACATACAGTCGTCGACACGGCGATAGTACTCGTCACGGTAGCCGTGGTGGCACTCTCGGCGGGGCAGTTGGGCACATCGGGAGGGCACTGCGTCACAGTGAACTGCGACGTGGTGAAGACGGTCGACGTGGTGAACTGCGTCGTCTTCTCCTCGGTTATGGTGGTGGGTGTGGGCACAGGCGTAGTGGGAATCTCGCTCGTCGCAGTCGTGCCGGGCACTGCAGTCGTGGGAAGCTCGTCTGTCTCAGTCGTGCCGGGCACTGCAGTCGTGGGAAGCTCCCCTGTCGCAGTCGTGCCGGGCACTGCAGTCGTGGGAAGCTCGTCTGTCTCAGTAGTGCCCGGAGTGGACGTGGGCGTGGGAACCTCGGTCAAGTCCTCCTCTGTGGTGGTGCCAGGAGTAGGGCCAGGTCCTTGCGCAGTGCTGGTGACGGGGCACACAGTCGTGGTGAGAGGGATAGTGCTCGTCACGACGGTGGTGCCGCCGTTAGGGCAGTCAGGCACGTCGGGGCCACACGAGGTGATTGTGATGATGCTGCT